AAAAGATGCAGTGCCTGACCAATTATGTCACCACAGGCTTCCATTGTCCCCTGAAGCCAGAGCTGGGAGCCGATCACATGACCGGACCAGAGCGCCTTAGATTAGGTAAATATACACAGAATGGGGGTGGAGGCAGGATTAAGTTTAGATAAAATGAGCCCAGATTTCCACTTTAATATGTAATACACCCAAGACAGAGCAATAACCCAAGTATGTACCATTCTACAGTTCTTAAATTCACTACACAGTCTAAACTCTTAATATGGGGAGAATAACAAAGTCTGTCACATGCTGAAAAATGCACCAAATTGCTGATTTAGAACATCAAATTATTCAAATTGCCACACTTTGTTAAATTTGAGTGCACTTACTCTGTGTGTTCCAAAATTACTTTAAAAACTCTTCCAGGTCTAGCTGACAATACTGCAAGTGACAGGTTCTCTTTGAAAAGACATTAGGGCTTCATAAAACCCCTAATTTCACCTCTGGTCTCTTTCGAAGCTGTGCTCGACCAGCTCCTTCCCCAGCCAGGTAGGCCAAAGATTGACAGCTCTAAACCTAGAAATGCTTAGAGGTGAACACTTCCAGCTTCAGTTTTTCATTTTACACCTGCCATGGAGATCCAGGTCACCCAGGAAGGACAGGTGAACCTGGTGCACAAAGCAGAAGAGATGTTATCTTCCGCAGCATGTAGAAGAAATGATTCTACTATATATCTGGCAGCCAGGAGTAAAAAGGTAAACAAACTCCATGCTGCTATAGCAGTCAGGATTCTGTTTGCAGGCCAGCGGTGACATGGAGATAATACTTCAGTTGGCTTCAGCAAAAAGGATAAAAGCCCTCTAAGTACAAGAAAATATCTTAAATGTATATAGTGCAGTGCTAAAAAAAAAAATGTTTTAAATAATAATGTATAATCATCAAAATAAAGCATCAAATGTAAACACCTGTCCAACTTAAATGATAAATATCTCTCAGTGAAACATAGGTGCATAAATATCAGTATATATCTCAGTGAAGCAATGAATAAGTAAAGTCCATCAAATATAAATCAATGTGATAAGAGAAACGTCCATAAAGTGAACAGATAATGTGTCAGCAGCACTACAAGACACAGCAACGTGTTCAATTCCAAACAGGTGCTATAGGATCCAGTGAAAACTTCCACCACCACTATGCACTCACTAGAAAGCTACTGGCATGGTAGCAGTAATAGCGGACCACTCAGGTAAATACTTAGAATCTTTAGCCAAAAGGACTTATCCAGAAAGCTGCTGGTATAGTAGCAGCAATTGCTGATCACTCAGATAGAACACTCAGGATCTTTAGCGGAAAGGACTTATCCTAGGAAAAAAACTCAGCACACGGAGCCCGGAAAGTGATATATAGTGTAGTACTTTTATTAAAATTGATATAAAACATTCCACATGTAAAGATATACAAACATGGGTGAATTCACACACCAAGATGGCCACCGCCGCTAGTCACGGATGCGGCGGCACGACATCAGCACGTAGGCTCCACCCAACGTGTTTCGTGCACATGCACGTCCTCAGGGGTACGCCCATTCAACAAAAAATCTGTTGATCTGCAAGAAACGCACTCGGCTCCTAAACCCTGTTGTGGACTGATAATGCCCAACATTTTTCAGTCCTGAGTGTTGTCCTCTCTGCTCAGTGTCTTTTCCTAAACTACTCTAGCACTCCTACTCTCAGATTTCTACAACATAATGGCTTATTAATTTGTAGTCCAAAATAAGAAATATAAGCGCTCTTTCACATAACACCGGAAGTGTAGGGAGGACAAAAGGCAACTTTGAATTTCTGACAAGAACAACATTTTGTTTTGCACTATAAAACAGATACAACAAAACACTTCCAATGGTATATTTACCAGACCAATAGGGAGCAAATAAATTCATTATTAGGGTCTACACACTTTAAGCATCATCTCTTCAAAATCAGGTTCTTGTGAACCAATAAACTTCCCTATCAAGGGCCCCCTATAATTCTGTAGAGAGGAGGGGGGGGGGGGGGGACTTTTGGAGTTTTTATCGTTGGATATTTAAAGTACAGAGTTTGTTTTACTCAATTTTTGTTGATGTTGGATGCACCTCAACAAAGTCTTACTTGCACTTTGTGATCTTCTTTCAAAGGCTGTAAACTCACTTTTGTTCTGGCAAAATAATTTAAGGATGTTGCATGTACAGAGCTATCCCTAGGTTATTATTGAATTATGACATCAACCAAGTCTCAATTGAGCCAACTACATAAGTGTCTTTGTTGTTATATAATAGATCATATGCAGTTATAGAATGAATTAAAATTTCGCACCCAACCGGAGAGTACTGGCAATTACCATATTCTAGATATTGGTTCACCTAGATACTAAATGAGATACCTTGTTTTGTGTAATCTTTTAACCTGTTCTTGTTCATATGCTCAGTGTCTTTTCTCTATGTCGCTTGAGTAGTATGTAAAATGTTTTAAAGTCTTTAAAGTGTAACTCCACTTTTGCTGAGAAAAAAAAAACATTCCTCTCTGGATGTTCAATGTACATTGCAGGGATTTTAACAAACTTTATTGCAGATTCTTACCTCTTGTTATTCTGAAGAAATAGCTGTTTGTTTGGCTGTGTCCATTTGCAGAGTGAATCAAATAGAAGTGATTTTATAATTACCAATCAGCTGCTGCACCTGTAAGGTTCTAATGAGGGAAATGGCACTTTAGATGTGATTTCCCTTTTACATTTTTGTTGCAGGGATGGTAAAAATCTGACTTGTATCTTAGTAAAGATTTCTGGGAAAATCAGTACGTCAATCACCCAAGCAGGACATTTCTGGGGGCATTCTGTACACCATCGGTATACGGAATGCCTCCCGGCAGCCATATTGCAGAAAACTACAGCGCTGCAGATTAAAAAGGAAAGGTATTTTTTAATAATGTTCAAATACAATATGACTTGAGTCACAATTGTATATGTTTTGTTGTTGTTGTTTTTGGTTTTTTTTTATTTTGCTATTTTTTTTTTTCCACAAAAGTGGAGCTACCCTTTAAATAAAGAATTAATTAAAAAAAGGGTTTTTGTTATTCAATTCCTAGATTGTAAGCTCGAAAGAACAGGTCCCTCAATCCCCTCATGTTTTGCATTGTATTGGTATTGTTCTGTCACATGTTCTGTCCCCCTTTGTAATGTACAGCGCTGAGCGAAGTATTGGCACTTTATAAATACTGTATAATAATAATAATAATTCAATAATTTGGCTACAGCTTCATTTCTTAACCAAAAACTCAGAATATATATTTCATGGCAACTTTGATAAGACCTGCACCCATGAACTCCTTTGTAAGGAGAACTATTTGGGCATTTAGCAAGGACAGAATTTTTTTACTATGCAACATTACTTTATGAATTATAATACTGTATTCCTTTTTGTGTGTGTTTGTTTTCTGTGTCATGGTCATGTATATAATTCTTTGTAATAATCACATATGGCTGCAACAGTATGAACTGTAAGGTGTTACATCTGGAGTTTTACCACTCATCTGGAAGTTGTAATACATATGTACAGTATATATAATACAGCATATTGATGTAAGATAAAGAACCCTCAGGCCGGTACAGAACATGCAAACCTCCTTAGAAGAAATCTGATGGCCAACGATGACTTGGTGAAATGATGACCAATAATCAGGGTCATATTAATCACTGAACTGCTTTCCACATACTTGTCTAAATAATTGTTCTGATGATGATGATGACTCATTTTATTTATTAGAAAGACTGGAAGCAACTTCCCATAACAAATTACCTGCTAATTAACACCGAATTTCTTGTTTCAACACCATTACATAAATATTTAATCATTTGGCTTAAATTCATTTCTGTTTACATAACAGTATAGTAGTTCTCAAAATTAATAAAACGCCTTAGTTGTTATATAATTTCCTGGCAATTAAACTATGTAGCTATACTGGAAAGGAAGGTATTTTGAGAATATGCCATTATCTAGTAATATATAAAACACTCACCTGCTTCCAGTAGGAGACAGGGAATGCAAACTTGGATATTTTTTTCACAAAGGCTTTATTCAACCCCTTCCTGCCCACTGTACACATATATGTGACCTCATGGAAGTGGGTTTTCTTCCATGGGGTCACATACTGTATATACGTAACCGTGTTTGTGCTGGGAGTGCTCTGCACAGCACGCTCTCAGAACAGAGTCCAAGCTCTCACCGAGTTCTGGGTCTTGTGCTAATAATCAGGAACTGGGAGGCCTGGTCCCTGATCATATGATCACTGTGATAGCTATCATAGTGATCGCTCACTGTACAGCCTGTGGTTTTTTATGGGCTTATCTGTAGGTACAGGTAACAATGAGAACTTTACTACCCCTGTAAAGAGGCTTGTATGAACAATGTGGTAAGAACATTTCTTTTGACCTTAACAACCAATCAACTTCCAGCTGTCAAATCTCCACTGAGGATTCTGATTGGTTTCCATACTTAAAGTGTTACGAAACCCACCTCATAAAAAACTATCAATAAATTATGTATTACATGCTGTTCATACTCACTCAATCACTATGGTATTCATTTTCTGAATTCTGCAAAAAACCTGGTTAATCCTGCTGTTCTCTATGTCCTTCTTCTGTCCAAGTCCCCAGTGCAGCTAGGGATTTTGCACAGCAGTGTCGACATCTTTGCACATGTTCAGTTTTCAGTGTGTTTCTATGCTGAACATTTCCTCCTTATCACATCCAAGCAGCTCATGTAACTATAGAGTCACACGTGGGCATAGACACAGTGGTAAATGATAGTCCACTATCAGCGATCACATGACTGCTGATCGCTGAGTTCTCACAGCCACTGTGAGCAGAGAGCAGTGACTGTCAGTCACCACTGGAGAAGAATATTACCAGCACACCAAGGTTCTCTCAATATGGGTCCAAAGCTTTAACCCCCCTGGCGGTATTCCCGAGTGTAGCTCGGGATAAAGTTTCAGTACCAAAAGCGGTAACCCCGAGCTACACTCGGGAATACCATGCGGCGCTGCTTAGAGATTCCCTGCAGCGCTTACTTTGTCCTGCGCTCCCACGATGCGTCCCCTGCAGCGTCCCCGGCCATCTCCTCTGGCCGATGCTGGCAACCGGCTTCCGTGTACCGGTCCCTGTGAGCGTCGGGACGTACGGGGGCCGGAACTGACGGCAAATTTAAAAATTTTAAAAACTGTCATTTTCTAATAAACTAATATTACATAGTATAACATTACTGTTTCAAACCATTTCACATACATTTTGTCCCTAGTGCTTTGTCCTGTGCCCTGCCTGCATTTTGTCTGTTCTTTCTGCCTGGAAACTTAGAAAAGTCCATGGCGTCCCTTTAGGTCAAAATCAGTTTTAGACCAGCTAGAGAACAGCGATAGTAAATTAGAACCACTTGCAGATTTGAGTGATGATTCGTGGGGAAATTCGTCATCAGACACTGAAAACGATTTTGCGACTGAGCTCAGCGATGTGCGAACTTGGAGATATATTTCAAATTTCAGTGTTTTTGGTTTGATTATATTATTGAATTAAGTTTATTATTATTATATTATTATTTTTTTTATGGTTATTTATTAAATTATAATTTATGATTTCGTGTTTCAAGTTTTATCCTACCCGGGATGTTTACTAGACTCTTGTTCGGACAGATTTCAGTGAGTTATTCCTAAAAATTACAGGCCTACAATAAAAAAAACGACATATTTCCATGGAAAAAAAATGTACCGCTTTCAGCACAGAATTATGAACATAATCAGACCACTAGGGAGGTTAATAAGCAATCACATAGTTACAGCAAGAGCAACGTTTCGGAGTCTCGCAGGACCCCTTCATCAGGCATGTGAAAGCATGAAGGGGTCCTGCAAGACTCCAAAACGTTGCTGTTGCTGTAACTATGTGATTGCCTATTAAAGATTTGGACCCATATTAGAGAACCTCGGTGTGCTAGTGACATTCTTCTCCTGTAATGCTTCTCGGTTCCAGCTGATGGTCACTGCAGAACCCACCTACACATATAGCCACATCTTGATGCAGGAATGCGTGCATTGGGATTGTGCAATTTCGCTGTCTCTCAACACTGTCTGCCCCCCCCCCCCCCCCACACGCTCACTGCAGTGCTGAACTGTGGAGAGGGAGGGAGCGGCTGGCTCAGGCTCTCAGCAGATCACTGAGAGGCTGAGCCGGGTGCAGCTCCAGACTCTGGGGTGGATCCCAACTTTAAAGTCAGGATCTTTCCCCTGGCTGGACCAGCTGGGTGACATCAGCCAAAAACGGGTCACGGAAGTGCAGAACGAACTGCACTCCTATGATCCATAGAAGAAGTACAGCCAAAAAAGCTTTGGCTGTACTTCTCCTTTAACCCCTTCCTGCTGGCGCCTCCTGGGCCTTTAAGAGTTTTCAGAAGCCGGGAGGCAGGACGGGGTTTAGGGATCATGTGACCGCATCGTCACGGCGATCACATGATCAGGAAAGGTCCCAATCAAAAGAGCAGACCGGGACCTTTCCGTGAGTACCGGACATGTGTGCTGGGAGCGCGCAGGGTGCGCGCTCTCAGCACATATGTTTTTTGTTAATTGCACGTAAATGTGCGGCTGCTCAGCGTCTAGGTCCAGACGCCGGGAGGCCGCACATTTGAAAAGGTTAAGTATAAATTACAGTGCCACACACAGAAATAGAAGATACAATGTGAAACAGTGTGTGTTTAGCATCACTTTAACAACTTTTTTTTATATTACAACACTTTTCATACATAATCCCAGTATAGCCCTTAGTTACAACAACAATATACAATAAAAGTCCTTACACAGTGTTGTCTATCCAAATCTCACTTTATTATATCTCTGCATTTTTCCAATTTGTCATCTAAGACCACTTAGTTACAATTCCCACGCAGAGATGTTAGATTCTTCATTTAAATATTGCTCAAATGTGTCTGATCCTCCCTGAAGGTTTATTGCGTCAATGCAGTAGATAGAATAACCCTGAGATTACACATACATTTGTTCAGATTGCTTCTTGTGCCTGACCAGCTTTCCAACCTTGAACATTTAACAAGTCTGCTAGCTCAGAGACATTTCACAATTTTGTTTTTATCTTTTGGCAATGTATTTGATACAACACGTTTTGCTCCTAAAGAGAGTACAGGCTACTAAGAAAGACTATACAATATATTTTATTTTCCACTTTATAAACACTAGACACGTCTACCATTTCCTCCCATATTCAGTGCTAAAGTGAAGAGCCACATATTTTATGTTTGGAAGGAATGTATGTAATGTGAGTAATGCTGTACAATTGAGAATGTATCAGCTGGATCTATATATCCCATGTCTTACAGACCTGGACTGTCTGTAACCCCAAGCACAGGTGCTAGAAGTTAACACAGCCAGAAAAAATGTTTCATGGGATACTTGGCCTTACGCTTTGTGTGCAGGAGCCTACTTTGACCCCTGGGAAACGCAAATCGCTGCAAAAACACGCTAACACAGTTGTTACGCTTTGCTACGTTTTTACCGCGGTTTGCATTTTTCTATGGTGGGCGGTCAAAACGTTCCTATCCTGAACGCGATACTTTCGCGTTCAGGAGAGGGAAGTTTAACCTCACTTAAACGCGGAAGCCCTTAATCTCTGCTAAAAGCCTATGTGTACATGGACACATAGGCTTTTATGGAGTTGAGCTTAGGAGCTTTGGCAAAAAAAATGCCAAAAGCTCCTAAACTCGAGTTTAGCAGTCCTCGTGTACATGAAGTCTAAGATTGTTGCTTAACATACAACCCATGTAAAATAATGGGGCTGAATTACTAAGATTCTTCACCGGAAAAAACTGTGTGAATATTAACTTTAATTATCTAATCATATGAAAAGCAAATTCCTCTTCACTTTTAATACCCAATCATGTGCAGATCCTTTTCACATGATTGGATAATTGAAGTAAATATTCACATATTTTTGTCAGTGAAGATTCTCAACTTAGTATATCAGATTTATTGCCTCTGTTTCCATAAGGTTACCAATTACAGTCTTAACCCCTTCACTACTGCTGTATGTTTTAAAACATTGGAGCGGTGGATGTGTATTTCTGCAGTGCCATTTGAAAACAAATACTTAAAGAGTACCACAATGCTACTGTGCCATTAATTTGTGGATGGTGCTATTTAAAGGATAAGTAAAACTTTTAATAAAATATAATAAATGCACTTTTTTGCAGGTAGAAAAAATTTGCATTTATTATTTTTTGGTTGAAAGAGCCTGGAAAGAATAGCACCAGCGATCAGCAGATTGCTGGTGCCATGCAGGTCTCCTGCAGACCTGTCAGTATATCTGCTTGCCATAAGGGATGTACGGGCAAGCAGATATACTGACAGGAAGAATGAATGGACTACCACAGTGCTTCATAGCCCCATGGTAGTTCAGGGGTCTCCAAAATTTCTAAACAAAGGGCCAGTTAATGGTCTTTCAGACTTTAGGGGACCTGGACTACAGGAAGTCAGAGAAGAAAATGTCCTGGCTTAACTGGGAGTAAACAATGCCTGATCTTTGGAATTAGGGGAGGAATCATACCCCATCATTGGTATCAGTGGAAGAAATAGTTCTCCATCACTGGTGTCAGTGGGAGGAATAGTGCCCCATCATTGGTGTCAATGGAAGGCATTCTGGCCCATTGTTGGTGTCAGTGGGAGGAATTTTGCCCCATCATTGGTGTTAATTGGAGGAACAGTGCCCCATGGTTGGTGTCATTGGAAAGAATTGTATCCCAGCACTGGTGTCAGTGAGACGAATTGTGCTCTACTGTAGGTGTCAGTGGAATGAATAGTGCCTTATCATTTGGGTTTTTGGAAGGAATTGTGTCCCATTGTAGGTGTCAGCTAGAGAAATCATGCCACATCGTTGATGTCATTGGGAGGAATAGTGCCCCATTGTTGGTGATATTGGGTGGAATTGTATACTATCAATCGTATAAATGGGAGGATTTGTGCTCCATTGTTGGTGTCAGTGGCAGGAATGATGTCCCAATGTTGGAGTCAGTGGATGGAATTTTGCCCCAAGGGCCAGATAAAAGCAAGCAAAGGGCCACATCCAGCCCCCGGGCCACAGTTTGGAGACTACTGTGGTAGTTCATTGAGAACTACAAGCTGACAGCCGCTAAGGCCATCAGGACTTGCAGTTCATTCAATCACAGAACACTGTGAATGAATGAATAACGCAGCCATGTGCGTGTAGCCCCACATGGCCATGCTGTTTTTAAAATGTGACAGATTGTATGGGGAAAACGTCTTCCCGTAGTGCTGTCATGGGGGCGTCGGGGGTGGGGGGCTGGTATCAAGCAGAGGCTGCAGCCGTGGTAATATTATTATTATTATTATTCAGGATTTATATAGCACCAACAGTTTGCTCAGCGATTTACAATATAAAGGGAGACAATACAGGAACGATACAGTTCAATGCAGGAGGGTTAGGAGGGCCCTGCTCCTTGGAGCTTACAATGTAAGAGGGAGGGGCTGGTGGTACAAAAGGTAATAATGTGGGGGATGAACTGATTGGAAGAATAAAATATTCCGTTATTAGCTGAAGGCAGGATAGGTTTCCCTGAAGAGATAGGTTTTCAGAGATCGCCTAAAAGTGGGCAGAGTAGGCGATAGTTGGATAGATTGGGGTGGAGAGTTCCAGAGGATGGGGGAGGCTCTGGAGAAGTCCTGGAGACAAGCATGGGAGGAGGAGACAAGGGAGCTAGAGAGCAGGAGGTCATGGGAGGAGCGGATGGTTTGGGTGATATTTGGAGACAAGATTGGTGATGTAATTTGGGGCAGAGTTATAAATGGCTTTATATGTTATTGTTAATGTTTTGAATTTTATTCGTTGGGCAATGGGAAACAAGTGGAGGGAGTGGCAGAGAGGGATGGCAGATTTGGAACGGTTAGTAAGGTGGATGAGTCTGGCAGCAGCATTCATAATAGAATGAAGAGGGGATAGCCTGCGATTAGGTAGGCCAATGAGGAGGGAGTTACAATAGTCAAGGCGAGAGATAACCAGGGAGTGAAAAAGTTGCTTAGTGGTTTCCGAGGTTAGGAACGGCCGTATCTTAGAGATGTTGCAGAGGTGAAGTCTACAAGATTTGGACAGTGATTGGATTTGGGGCTGAAAGGACAGATGGAAGTCTAGGATTACACCTAGTACCCTGCCATGAAGGGAGGGACTGATGGTTGTATTTTTGATCTAGATGGAAAAGTCAGGAGAGGGGGCACGGGCTGGAGGGAATAGTATGAGTTCCGTTTTGGAAAGATTTAGTTTGACGAAGTAGAATGAC